AAAATAAAATAAAATAAAGCTTTGTGTATATTGGATAAGAGTCTTTTTAAATCAGATATGCCTTTGCAAATATTTTCTACTAGTCTGTAGTTATGTTGCTATGTTATGTTGCTAAGAATTTATATTTTTCTGTTTTATACAATAGAAAAATAAGTATAGAAAATATTCATAGAATATTTTTAGATTCACTGATTTTAATCATTTTATTAATATTATAAAATTTAATCATTTTCAAAGGAAAATGATTAAATTTTATAGTAATAATTTCTATTATTCACAAACAAAAAAATTGATTTTTTAATTTACTTTTTAAATACACAACAACAATGGAATGCATTACAATCCTTATTACACATATAGAGCACTATTTTTCATATCTCTGTATATAAAGTATGTTCATGCCAATTTATGCCATTATACATGTACTCTTTTTTGCATTAAAATTCTTAATTAACATATACACCACAATTTTTCATAACTCTGTTTGTATATAAGGTATGTTTTCACCAAATTCAAATCTTCAGTGAAAACTACAGAACCCTAAGGAGAGAAATCAAAGAAGACCTTAGAGGATGGAAAGATCTACCTTGCTCATGGATAAAAAATTAATTTTAATGATGTCAAATATCATTTTTATTTCATGGATATTGTTTTTCATAAATAAATATTGTTTTTAAACACCTAAATATTCAAAATCAAACTCAAGTTTACCAAATTTTTCTTTTGTTACCTTATAGGATTTTTATAGTTTTGCATTTTACATTTAGGCATATAATCCATTTTGAGTAAATTTTTGTGAAAAGTATAAAACCTCAGTCTAGATTTTTTAGTTGATATCCAGTTGTTCCAGTACCAATTGTTTAAAACAATATTCTTACTCTGTTAAATTGCCTTTGCTCCTTCGTAAATATCAGTTGACTATATTTGTATCTATTTCTGAATTCTCAATTTGATTTCAGTGACCTATTTGTTTATTCTTTTGCTAATAACACAATATTCAATTATTACC